GGTTCTCTCTCTCTCTCTCTCTCTCTCTCTCTCTCTCTCTCTCACACACACACACACACACACACTACCATTACTGTCTTCTTAGTAGATTAATCATTAGATGTTTGTTATTTGAGGAAATAAGGTGATTTTTCCCCCTAACATTCTACTCGATCCAAATCATATTGTAAATTATCATTTACAAAATAAGAAATTTGTACTATCTTCTAAATTTGTGTATTATCTTTTTTTCTCATCTAGAATGTTCCACATGGGAGTATTCCTTCATGTCAGTTAAATGAACATCCCAAGACAAGACCACAAACTTCAGCATCTCAAAGCTTAGCACCTACTTCACTTTCTCAAACTCCTGCTGGAAATACCCGCCTCCAGCTTTTGTTTGCACCCTCTGCTGTCCAGAAGGCGCCTCAGCTGATTCCACCCGATAAAACATTTACTCCGGGTGGTGGTTTTCCTTTGCTTCATTTTCAGCCTAAGCATGAATTCAAACCTTTTTTCTTACCTCCAGGCAGAATTCCACAAGTTCCTTTTAGGTCTCAGGTCCAACCAAGAGAGGCTTGGGGATTATCTGATTCCTTCCAGCCTTCTCTGCCTCAGAGAATAGTGCACAGCAGTTCACCATCCCATTCAAATTGGAGACACAATAATACTGAATCCATAAACAGAACAGAACCTGTACCTACAGCCATCCCTCAGCATGTGAACTTGGGTCAGCATGTTGGACGACAAAACCTGACACTTCAGGATTCTTCAGTATTTACAAAGCCAGAAAACATATCTGATGTTAAACCAGGGCCTTTTGAGACATCTCAGAATTCTTTTGGACTTCCTTTATTACATCTGCAACTTAAACCTGCTTGTATAGTTTCATCACCCTCAAGAGCATCAACTGGATTTCCCTTGGTACCTGTCAGATCTGGCACAGAAGAAAAAAAATACTCACAACTATCATTACTTCGTCCATGTCTACCCCCAGAAAATATGGTAATGAATTTTTATGTAGTGATAGAAAAGCGGAGTCCTGCATTTTCCATGCTATAAATAGTATGTATATGATTATACTGTACTATATGTTCAGTGAAAGCTTGAGAGCTGTGTGCGCATGCGTGTGTGTGTGTGTGTGTGTGTGTGTGTGTGTGTGTGTGGTTTGAAGTTCCTAGCAATTGTGTCACAATGATTTTCTAATCTGTTTCAGGTAAAAGTTGTTAAGCATACACATCTATCAGAAGCTTTCCATGTAATAAAATGGTAGCTTTATAAATGCACCAAATTCTCTTTAAAGATATTATCTTTGATTTATGAAATTTACATTGTTTAGTTTCTAATTTGGTGAGTAATAACTGTCTTAGGGCAATTGAGTAATTTGTTCTCTTACATACTTACTATATGAAGATGCTCCTGGGAAGAGAAATGGTGATTTATGGAAAACAATCTGCAGCCTGCCTCCTTTTCTTCTGAACATATTATAAACAGAAAATGGGATTAAAGAAGAAGAGCTGGCTTTTTTTTTTTTTTTTTTTTTTTTTGTCTTTTTGAGACAGGGTCTCTCTATAGCCCCAGGTGGCCTGGAACTGGCTATGAGGACAAAGCTGGCCTCAAACTCACAAAGATCCTCCTGCCTCTGCCTATCAAGTGCTGTGATTAAAGGCATGGGCCACCATGCCCAGCTTTGAGAAGAATTTTTAAACTTTTTCTATTAGGCCAGGTGTGGTGGTACATACCTATAATCCCTGTAATCCTAACACTCAGGGGGCACAGACAGGTGGATCTAAGTGAGATTTTTTTGTTTTCGGTTTTGTTTTTTTTTTATGGGATCGAGTGGCCAGGAGCCTGCCCTCCACTCAGCCCTTGAGTTCATTTTTTTGTTGAGCCTTTTGAGCTTTTGCAACTTCATACAACACTTTTTTTTTTTTTTTTTGGTCTTTTGAGACAGGGTCTCCCTGTAGCTCACTAGCCTGGAACTCGCTATGTAGACCAGGCTGGCCTCAAACTCACAGAGAGCCACCTACGTCTGCCTCCTGAGTGCTGAAGGTGTGGGCCACCATGCCCAGCCATACAACAATTCTTAATCAAATTCAGACCCCCTACGCCATCTATGCCTTCCCCGTCGTCCCCCCACTGAACTTCGTGTATTCCACAGTACATGCTAAGTCCTATTCATTCAGGCATTTGTACCCAAGTGTCCGTTAGTGCAAATGCTGAAGTCTATTGGAGTCCAGTCAGCCCATCTAGTGATAATATGTAAGTCATACTCTCCCTCACCCAGCAGCAATCAGTCTTGAATAGTTCTCAGTCTAGTGCCAGCCCTGCCACCAATTTCTCTCCTCCCCTCTTATCATGGATCCCATGCTCAATGCCACATTGCCACAAGTTCACATGTGCAAACTTCCAGTGGCCCGGAAGCCTCCACTTCCCTATGTTCAGGCACTAGCCCTGGCTCTTACAATCTTTCTGCCTCTTCCGCAATGGCTCGTGAGCTGTGGATGGATGAGGTTCCACACAGGAGTTCTATCCTACACTCTTCAGCCTCTTATTCTATAAAATTTGGCCTATTGTGGCCTTCTGTGTGCATCACACTCTGTTGTATAAGGAAGCTTTACTGGTGAGAGTTGAGGGATGTACCAGTTTTTCCTTTACCTCTTATTCTGCTATGTTCCATGAGTCTTGGTGTAGAGGTTCAACTGTAGATGTATCATCCAGTATTGGGCATCGCTCAGAGTTTGAGGCCAGCCTGGCCTATATTGTGAGTTCCAGGCCAGCCAGGACTACATAGTGAGACCCTATCTCAAAAACAAAACAAAGGAAAGATTTTCTATTAGAATAATATGCTGAACCCTAAGTACTCATAACCTGCTCATATCACTATTATCAACATATGCTGATAGCTATCCATAGTCTTGTTGTTGTTTTTTGTTTTGAGACAGGGTCTCCCTGTAGCCTCAGATGGCTTGGAACTCACTTTGTAGACCAGGCTGGCCTCAATCCCACAAAGATCCACCTGCCTATGCCTCCTGAATGCTGGAATTAAAGGTGTGCACCACCACGCCCGGCTGCCCCCACCCCCCTCAATGATTTTTCAATTAAATATTTAATGTCATTATATTTGCAGTTACAGGAGGGAAGATCTCTGTAGAAATGAAATTTAGAAAATGAAGACTATTTCTGAGACAAGATTACCCATTTGAGGGCCAGTGATACAGCTCAGTGGTAGTTCACTTACTTAGCATGCTCAAGGCCCTGAGTTTGATTCCAAGGAGAAAAAAAATTTAAAGACCTCTATGAAACTTTAACTACTGTGAAATATCTAATTTTTTAAGATAAGAATGCTTACTAGGCTGAGTCAATTTGTTATATTTGATATGTTCTGTCTCTAGTGTGTCTGAGTTTAATTTAAATGTTTTTTCAGTTGTCTCAACCTATTGTGTATTTGAGTTGATGAATTTTTATTATTATGCTTTGTATTTTTCTTGTAGTATAAGAAACCACAGCTTATTCCACTTGAAAACCTTGCTGCATTTAAGCGAAGCCAGCAAAAACAAACACAGAATGTATTTGAACAAAATGATTCTCATCCTCTTCAGATTCTAAAGGTCAATATGGAACCATCTGAAACAACACAGAGAAAGAACAGTAAAAAAAGGCAAGTTCTGAATGAAGTTTTATCTGATAATAGATATGCCAGTAAGTTCATTACGAGTCAAAGCCATAGAATCATGAAGATTCTGGTTCTTCCTCCTCACTGTACACAGCTATGTAATCAGGTTCCTTCTCTAGTGCCATGTAGTTAAATTAGTCCTATGGTGAGGAAACCTCCTGTTGTGAAAAAATGCCATCATTTTTTCCACTTTTATTAAGGTATTCTTTCCTACTATTCATAGGCTGGAGGGTTCTTTTTCATGGTTCTGTGATAGAATGAACAATTAAGTTTTGTAGCACAAATATTTGGGATCATGTGAAATTCTATATGTAATCCAACACTTTGAAGAAGTATTTATTTTACTCATCTTACTATATCCTCCAAACTGTTACAGGAAGCAGGAAAGTAGCTGATGATATAAATTGTTTCAGAGCACTAAGAAACATGTAAGTAAAGGCCAGGCTGTCAGGGCTGGAGAGATGAAGTAGCTTAGTGGTTAAGAGCACTGGGTGCTCTTGCAGAGGACCTGGGTTTGGTTCCCAGCACCCACATCGCAGCCAATAACCATCCCTAACTCCAGTTCCAGGGGATCTGACGCCCTCTTCTGGCCTCTGGGCATTGCATGTATGTGGTGCACTTACATACATGCAAGCAAACCAGCCATACACATAAAATTAAAAAAATAAATAAGTAATTTTTTTAACTTTTTAATCTTTTTCATCTTGTGTTTATTCTTTGACAATTCCATACATATATACAATGTATCTTGACCATAACTACTCCAAAGTCCCCTTTCTAGTCCTCTGGGACATCCCCTATCATGCTCCTTTCTCAACTTTGCCCAGTTAGTATTGTCCGCTAGAATATTGACTGATCTGGTGCGAGAAACCACAGCTGCAGTGAGTTCATGAACACGGTAGCCATGCCATGCCCAGAAGACAGCACCTCGTAGCACTCACCCTCCACTCTTACATCCTTTCTAACTTCCCTCCCTCAATGTTGTGAGTCTGAGGGGTTGATATCGATGCCCCATTTATGGCTGAGCACTCAAAAGTCACTTATCCTCAGCACTCTGCGTTAACTGCTGCCCAGCAGTGAGTTGTACAGCATTTTCATCACCTCAGTAAAAAGCTGTATGACTTGAAGTCAGTCCCCTGCACCCACCCCCCTGCCCCTGCAGCCCCTCTCCCAGCCCTTGGCAACCATCCTTCCTTGATTTTTAGACATTTCTTAGACGGGATCACTCAGTCTGTGATCTTCCGTGACTTGTTCTTTTACTAAGAATTTTCAAGCCCATCGGGCTATATCACAGGGCAACAGTTGGTTTCATTTTATTTCTACTACAGATAGCCTTTATGAGAAAAAAAAAAAAACCCCAAAACAAAAACAAACATTCTGAAATTTAAATTTTTTACAAAGGCAAGGCTGTCCTAGACCTCAACTGAAGAACACTTATAACATTTTACCTATAATGGATATTCAAGATATCTATTGATTAGTAAATTATTAATATAGAAAATATTTTTTAAATTTCCACATTAGACTAAAATTTGTTACCAGTGTTGTCCTTTCAGAAATAGTTTCTTCCTTTCCAGTCATTCTGTCTTCAAGGTCAATTTTCCCCTTACCTTTTGAGATCTCTCTTCTCTTTGGTAGAATTTTGCTGAGGGTCATGACTGTGTACTTTGTATCTTCATGAACATGAAGGGAGGTATTCTTTTTTTATTTATTTTTAAATATTTTATTTATTATTTTTTATTTTATGTGTATGAGTGTATTGCCTGCGTGTATGTGAGTGCACCCCTGTCGTGCGATGCCGTGGAGATCAGAAGAGGGCTTCGGATTCCCTGGAACTGGAGTTAAGGATGGTTCAA